ATTTATAAGGCTCTTGAGTAGGTAAAGAATATATGACATCATGTCATTGTCTTACTGTCAGACTACCTGGAAGTGAAGCAAGCATTTGTATGATATATTCATAGGTAAGCTCTGTTCTTGGCATAGCTTATATGTATGACCAGAGGTGGAAAAGTGTAGGCAGTGAGTAGGGATTGGTGGAGAGGGGGAAGAAAGTCTCAAAGGGAAAAAAGGCAGCAGGGAGCTCACTAAGGATGTGATGGCATGCTAAGAACCAGTCTGGGCTATGTTGGAAAAGGAGTCCTATCTTTATACTAGTAGGTTATAGTATGTGTTTGTCTCATTCTTCTTTACAAGAGCCCAGAGATTTTTGTTGGTTAAGAATTTACTATATGGAGCCAGGTACAGTGGCACCCACCTGTAATCAAGCTGATTGGGAAGTTGAGACAGAAGGACCACAGGTCAAGGCCAGTCTAGGCAATTTAGTGAGACCCTATCTCAAAATAAAAATTTTGTAAAGGGCCTGGGCTGTAGTTCAGTGGTTGAACACTTGCCTAGCATGTGTAAGACACTAGATTCAATCCGTAGTATCACTAAAAAAATTAAATTTGAAAAAAGAATTTACTAGACTAAGCAATTGCTTCCTGTAATTCTACTTCAAGAGTGAAACAGAATAACTATTAGATAAATACAACCATATTTTTGATTGAAACTCTTTAGCAGGATTAAGAAGAATCTCTGTATGTTACTGGTGCATATTGATATATTTATGGGTTCAATGACATCATGTCTGTCTGGGATTTATTTTTCAATATTCTAGGGGAAAAGGTGGTTGGAGACAGATAGAACATGACTGGCAAAATGTTGGTAACTTTTGAAGTTGAAGGAAGTTTTACCTTTTGTCCTGCTTTTGGATCTGTTCATTGAATTTTATGATAAGAATTTTTAATATTTTTTAAAGAAGGAGAAAACATTTAAATTTAGGCCTCTCTTCCTTGAAACCTAACAGCAAGTCCAGTCTTTAATACTGTGTTTTGGGAACCCAGTGTATTTCCTTTAATGTAATTAATTATAGGAGTGTGTATGCATGCTTGAGGATGAAGGGGTACTGTGATTTCTTCTCTGTTTGGGGTGCAAAATTGTGAAAATCAGAATTAGGATGGTTCACAGAGTACTGCTTCCCCATTGCAAGATTCAGGACTGACCCTTCCCACTGGAGACTTACTGGGCCATGGTAAAGATCCTCCTCTCCCCAAGCCCCAAACTCTGTGATATCTGTGAGATCTTTTGCCTGGCTATAGCAATCCCAAAAGCAAAAACCAATTAGGGGTTGCTTCCTTTTGTAACAAAATGAAGTGTGTTCCTTTTGGAACCGGAGTAACACAGTCCCTGGAGGCCAGGGATGGGGGATACGCATCTGAACTCTGGCCCACTCCCCTGGACCACCAGTTGCACCATTTTGTTCCATTCAGCAAAAAGTAAATTGTAAGGTTGTTGACATTTTTGTCCTCTTTACAATTCACTGTTTATTTTTCCATGACGAAGAATTTTGATGTAATTATCACTGAGCTTTCTGACAAAAAGGAAATAACGGAGGAATTTTGATGAGTTACCCACTTCATTAATCAGAACAAGCATCTCTAGTGACAGGGTTAGAATTACAATGAAGATTAGATAGCAAATTGCTGTTCCACCGAACGTCAATCATTTGCGGTGACAGCAGTGTGATTACACTTCAGGGAAGAGCTTTTCTTGCCAACGGAATGAGGGCAACTCTAGTGCAGGTAATAAATTTAGCAGGGCGAGCTGTCATTTTTTTCTCTTGAGTGGAATCCTTAACAACCAAAGGATGTCTTGTGGAAGATTTGGAGGGGAGGAAAGCATTTTACTGTAAAGCGTTCTAAATTTCACATTGTAGTATTTTATCTTAAAAATTGTTATAGGAACAGTTCATCCCCACAGTGATTTTCTATCCTTCATTTACCGGCATTAAGCCTTTATTATCACCGCAACTATGGTAAAGAGATGGTTGAACTTAGGAAAAGAAGGTAGGACTATATGTGAAAGCCTATCAGAAATAAAAACCTAGTGCAGAAATGATGAAGGTGGAAAAAATGAAGAAAGGTCAGGCTAGTTCTTGACCAGTTAAAAGGTGAAGCTGTCCTGGCTTAAACAAAATGCATTCTTCTTCCAGCTCACCAAGGTTTTAAATAATTGCTCTTGTTTCATAGAACAAAGGAGTAGAGCTCACAGTATAGAACTGAAAAGGAGAAGCATGCCTGGGACCAATAGGGAGTTCACTAGTGGGGAGGGGAGAATAGGAAGAATAAATAGATCATGTCTATGGGAATGGGCCACCTCTCATCCCTTCTTAAAAAACAACAAAAAAAGAAAGGCTGAGTGTATATTCATTCCTTTCCCAAGTGTTTTTTTCTTCCAGGCAAGTTTATGGGACTCATGGTTACCTGAATAATGTTTGGTATAAATCGAGAATAACTAAGCAGCTATTCTTGATTCATACTTTGGTTTGTTTGTTTTTAAGTTTTAGTAGATTGCTTTTTTGAGCAGGCAAAAAAAATAGTTAATTTCAAGAAAGCAGCTGCTCAGTAACACTGTCACTTTGCTGGTATTAAAATTTCTGTGTAGTGAAACTTAAAACTGAGCATTTTGCCAGGCATAGTGGCACACCTGTAATTCCAGCACTTGGGAGGCTGAGGCGGGAGGATTAACGTGAGTTTGAGGCCAGCCTGGGCTACATAGCGAGTTCAAGGCCAGGCTGAATTATACAGCAAGACGCTGTCTCAAAAAAAAAAAAAAGGAAAAGGAAAAAAAAACAAACTGAGTAGTTTGCTCTAAAAGTCTTAAGTGTTTTTAAAGAAGTATATTTATAAAATTTATAAACCCAAATTTGCCCCTCCTAAATTCAGATGTTTCTAACCAATGCTGTTGTCCAATGGTAAGTTGTATTTTATTATAAAAGAATTGCCCTTTAATTTTAGAATGGACTAATTACCATCTACCTTAGAATCACCAAGGTGCCAGAATGTTTCTGTTTTAGCCTCAGGTATATTACTAAAGTTCTCTGTATAGTACTTCGTGAATTTAGTAATTAAATCTTTCTCTACTTGAAGTTGTAACATGGTAAGTAAATCAGAAGAGTATGTACAGTTTCTGCATATTGGTAATGATGATCTAAGAATCAAAATAGTATAGCATAAAGAATAAAGGACTGGGGATATAGCTTTATCATAGGTCACTCGCCTAGCGTGTAGTAGGCCTTGGATTTGATTACCAGAACTGAAAAAGAAAAACATAGCACTTTACAGAGAAGAATATAAAAATTCAAGGACACTACTAATGGTGCTATTGTTGTCTAAATGGATTATGTTTAGACTATTGCATCATTAGGCATAATCCAGGAGTTAAAATTAGAGATAGCTATGCATAGTGTATTTCACCAGTCATTGGATAGGAATCTCTTAAACGAATCTGATAAACAGACACAGGGTATTTTCTTTTGACTATAGCACAATATTAACACCATTTTTATGCTGGATTTTGTGCCACAGATAGACAAATAATGCAAAAAAGGAAAAGGTGTATTCCCTCAACCTAGCAGATATGTGTCTTCTCCTTGTTATGACTAAAGCATATCCTATATTTAGCAAGTCTATTTGCCCCCTCCTTCCGTCCCTCCATCCCTCCCTCCCTTCCTTTCTCCTTTCCTTCCTGCCTTCTTTCCTTCCAAGAGACCTAAAGTGAAGATCTGGAAAATGTGCCCTCATTTGACATAATGGAAAGGGAATAAACACTTTTAAAAGTTTGCCGTGGCTTTTCCTAATGAGACATTATAAGTTTGTGTTGATAGGAATATAACTGATATCCTATGTAGAAAACAATTCTGGCTAAATAGTATATTTCTAAGAATTCTAGCATATGCTTTCTTGTATTCTTGGCCTTTTTCTTCCTCTCTCCTCTCTCCTGATAGCCTCTCAAAAGTAGAGATTATATCTTAAATGATTTTGTTCAGAGTTCTCAAAGTCAAGCACAGTGGTACTTAGCGTATATTGAAATAGGGCAAGCCGCGTATTTTCACAAAGACAGAAGCAATAGAGCTGACCTGAAATCTTTGAGGCTGACATTAGGCATTCCCTATACTCCCCATGAAGTCATTTCCTCTGAGGGTACTTTCTCTGTTAGTCTTCCCACTCTCAGATTTGCCATTCCCATTTACGAGCCCGATTCCCTTTTTTCAGGAGACTCGAAGTCTAGGAGAAATCAGTAAACGGATGATTATGATACAGCGCAGGAGGGTTTTGACTAAAGGAAGCATAGAGTGCTCTGGGAACACAGTAGGTCTCATTACATTTTGAGAGAGATTTCCATGGAAAGGCTTCTGAGAGAGGTGACTTCAGACAGAAAGGGGACAGGAAAGCAAGACAAGGAAATCAGTGGAAAATTGCAGGTAGCCTAAACAGGCAGTCTTCCTAGCCTACTAACAAAAGCCCTAGCATCGTCAGTAGAAGCCCAACTAAAATTGTTCCCTTTACGTGTTCCTCTTTCTGGGGACATCTCACCCTCCAGGGCCTCCCATGTTCACTTGTACTGACCATCAGTGGTATCATTAGCAGTGAAGTGAGTGGTTGGGCATTTTAAGCTCCAAGACAGCCTGGCAGGGCTGGCCACATTGGAAGCAGGCCTTTCAGGCCTCTCAAACAAGCCCCTAGTTCGTGTTTCAGAGGTGACTTGTTGCTGCAGTTCCCCAGAGGCCTGGTGCCCTACATTGAGAATGTATTATTTTAGTTTAAGTCATGAGATTCAGAAGACCTCAGCCATATGACTTGACTATTTCTCTACACAATAACCATAAAGGAATTGTGTTTTCTCTGTTCTCTTCTGTCAAGACCAGTTTCTAGATTTGTTAGAAAAAAGTGGTGGTGGGGGGGGGGACCTGAGGTGTCTCTCAATATTAGAATTACTGGGGTTGATTAGTGGTAATTTTCCAAATATTCCCATTGCAGTGTCAGAAACGGTATTTCTCTGCCTGGCACAAGCTGATTGTTGATCATAGGATTAAGCTGGGGAAAGCTGGGACTCTGTCCAACTGGAAGCTTCAACTGAAGGTCCTGCGAGCCTGGAGAGACTACACAAGATCCCAGAAGCTGGAGCAGGCAACTCAGGCCTTGGAAAACGATCTTAGGGAAGAAAACAGGTACCATTTCTTATGCCATGAAAATCCATGTAGAGTGTTTATCCAGGGCATCTTCCTCCAGAAGAATCCAGAAATAAACTCTAAAAGCGCTATTCACTGAAATCATCTTATCCACTTAGAAAATATGATAATCACAGTTTTTCTGTACATCTCCACTTGAAAATTTTGACTGAAAATTATAAGCAGACAAAACTAGTTGATTAAAACTCACTAAAGTATTTGATCTGTAAAGGAAGTGAGTCTTAGGCTTTTCCCCAATGCTAATGTAGTAGCATTGCACCTTGGACCATCTTACAATGCAAAAGAGGGAGTTTAGTTTATATGGCAATAATTCTCATTGATATAAATCACTGTCTGCACACAGAATGTTAATTAAGGACACAGGGAACATCCATCTGGGAGGGCCGACCTGCCAAGAGCGATTCCTCCCACTCTGCTGTCTTTTGTTCCACATCTTATTTAGAGGTTTTTGACACTTTCGGATCAGTTCCTTCTTGTGCTTGTGACACAACACAAGCATAAGACACAGACTTTGTCTTCAAGTGAAGCTTTCTTTGTTCCATCATCTTAAAATTAAATAATTTTCTTACTCTCTTTCCCAAGTTCAGTTTTACTTTGTTTTTGTTTTCATTTCTTTGGTGGTACTAGATACTGAATCCAATGCCTCCCACGTGCTCTACCACTGAGCTTCACCCCTCCCACCCCATTTGTATTCTAGATCAGTATTATAGATGTAGGAGAAACCATTTGTTTATTTGGGGGTTCATGTTCGCTTTTCTGCTGGAAGCTCTGTCAATCATTCAGGATGAAAAATGGAGTGAACAGCATGTAGAAATGGAAGGGGGGCAGGGCGCACCCTAGAGCTGCCCTGTGATAGCATAGGGCCCTGGGGAGGTTACATAGGAGATTGGCACATGGCTCTTTGTCCTCAAAGAACTCACGTTGTGTGAGGAAAACAAGATCTAGAGACAAGTACAGTGAGCAGTGTTATACACTGAAAAATACATCCGTTTTCCCTGTTGGGAATGTGGAGAAGGGAAGCGTCACTGTGGCCAGAAAGCCTCCTCAGGAGTGCCAGGAAAGCTGGGCGTGGTGGTGCACTCCTGTAATCCCAGCACTCTGGGAGGCGGAGGTGGGAGGATCACAAGTTTGATCCCAGCCCGGGCAACTTAGTGATTTAATGAGACAAAATATTTAGTGTCTTAGAAGAAGGGCTGGAGATGTAGTTTGATGTGAGGACCCTGAGTTCAATCCTTACTGAAAGGAAGGGAGAGGGAGAGAGAAAGAAGGAGGTAAGGAGGGAGGGAGGATGGGCAGATAAAGAGTGCCAGAAAAAGCTCTATCAAGAGGAAGGGTCTTGATCTGGGTTATTTCTAGGTAGAGAGGGGGAAATGAGGGTAATGGCATGAAATGCAGCCTTGGCTGGAGGCCATCAAGCAAGTGGTTGTTAAGTCCATTAACTTTTCTGAAGGGCTTTAAATGCCAAGACAAGGAGTTTATTCCTTGATAATAAAGGTAAATCGTAATGGTTTTTTTAAGCCAAGAAGAGGGAGTGGGAGGTGGGAGGGTGGTTTAGTCAGTTTCTTCTTCCAGTAGTTTCCTGGGGAAAATCTTCAGGAATTTGTCTCAGAATCTCAGGACCTAGTGATTAATAGAAGAAATTGGGATGATACCTTAAATGAATGATGGCAGGATTTACTGGATAAAGAAGGTAAGCTGGAAGTAGCATAAATAAAGCCGCTGTGACAGGGGCAGAGAGTGAGTGGAAACTGAGAGGTTCAGGTTAAACATGGCCTGTGAGATTTACATGTCAGAAGAAACTTATAGAAGAAAAATTTGGAAAAGTTAGGATTCCATTCCAATTAAGCTGTTTAAATATAGAAGAACTAAATGAGGATTTCATAATTTCATTATGTGCCAATTTTTAAAGAAGATCTCAGAACTTTCCAACTTGTATCTGAATTATTTTCAGGTGCCTATTTTTAAATGTTCAGAATGGTACTAAATTTTTTTAAACTGCCAGAGTTAGAAAATATTTAACTTATCATAAGCTTTTTTACTACAAAGCTTTAAAACAAAAAATGTCCTAGAGCAGGAAGGTACCTCAGGAATTGTCTGATCCAGCCTAGCATTTTAAGGGCCAGAAAGAGTAGTGAGTGACTCTTACAGACTTAATTGTAGCTTGTCCATGACTGGAACCTTGTCTTTTTTATCCCGTCAGATGTTTTTTCCTACACACTGTTGTTAAAACAAATAGCATCCAGATCATAATTCCCGAAGATAGCCATTTTATTCATCTGCATCGCAGTTTACTTTAGATTGTGACAGGTGAGATAAAAGAGTGGTAATTTTAAAATGGCGAGTCACCCTGGAAACAGGAGAAAGGAGCTGTTTCTCACAGACTTCCCATTGTACACAGCCCTGCAAATCTCTGGCCTACACATGTTGTAGAAATTGTTTCAGGAAATTCCGTTGAGTGATCTCCCTCAAACATAGGTGGGATAGTCAAAGTGGAAGGGGAAGAAAGCTCAAGCAGAGCTATGATAAGCAGAAATATCATGGGATTGAGGGTCTCAGTAGAGCCAGGACCCCCTTTGCTGTGCTCATTGGGGTTCCTCCCAGCGTCTCAGTAGACCCCAAACACATACTTGTTGAATTGTGAGTCTGTGAGTGAATGAAGCTGCTTGCTTTCCTGCAGTTTAACTTGGGTGTTCAAGCATTCTTTCTAAATGATGAGCTCAAGGAAGGGAGAGCTTTTATTATAATGGGTTACTCTCTGTAGAAACTTTGTTCTTACTAGGTCGAAAAAACACATGTGCTTCCGTGGCCCATCCCCTAAAAGATGTTGAAATTACTTATGTTATTTAGATGTCAGCTGAGTCCTCATTCTCCAGCTCCTGCCCCCCTGTTGTTTTGCCCCCTGATGTGTACCCTTACTGGCTTGTCCAGGTGCCCGAGGGACAGGCCTCCTTGAGCCATACTTTTTCTGTGAAGCAACCGCCTCTCCTCTCATTCATAATTTAGCTACCGTCTTTTCTCTTTTTTTTTTTGGTTTTTCTCTGGTACCGGGAACCGAACTCACGACCTTGTGCTTGCCAGGCAGGTACTTTGCCGCTGAGCTAAATCCCCAGCCCCCCGTCTTTTCTCTTTAAGCCTGTGTGCAGAGTCTCACCTCTACTCCAAGGGTTCAGCCACTTACTTCTTGTGAAAATGCATCCTGCTTTCCCTAATAGGAATTGTGGTTATTCTATTTTTATTCATCTCTTTTCTTTTAAAATTATTGTAACAGTGTTATAAAATTTCAATATGATATCATAAAACAATTTCAATATTAATAAATATTTCCAAATCCTGAGGATTAATTTACCTCGCCAATGCAACAAAATTCTGGTGCTCACTCCTTTGACATGAGGGTGTTAAATTTTGGACTTGTGTTTTCAATTTCCTTAACTTTCTTACTTTTGCAACTTGGTTACAGGTGTTCTATTCCTGCTCTCTTCCTTCCTGCCTTTGTTGTCAGCCAGCCCTAGACAAAACTGGGAGGAAGTAGGGTTTGTTGTCCACATCCTCTGCCAGCCTTCTCACGCCCTGCTTCCCTGATTTCTTAGTTCCTCCCAGGGAAGCACCTCTGCCTTTCCCCGTGTTGAACTTCACGGCATCTTCAGTCCCGCCCTGTCTGGCAGCAGTGCCCTGACCCTCTCCTGGAGCATGTGTTTATCTCCTCCCTTTGTCCCTGAAACTCCTCACTCTTTATTACTGTAATCCTCAATTGTCAGATATTCTTCATTTCCAGCGCTTGGGATTTCAGCCTTCTTCGGGGCAATCATTTGTGGAGTGTCTCTGCTAATCATATTTGATTGTTCTTCCCTCTGTGCTCACCTGGGTACCCAGGTGAGTGGCCAGAAGCCACATGGCATCTGCAGCTGGCAAAGCTCTTGATGCGTCTGTCAGAGAGGCGGGAGGACCAGACTGGCAATGCCTGACTTGCTTTAGAAACTCTTTAACAGAATTGTCTCATCTTCCACTTTTCCCTGGGGGGTACCTGGTACATTATGGAATGCATTAGCTTACTCATTCCTCCTCCTGCTGAACCTGCTCATCCCCGAGTGCAGCTGTTCCTGTCACTGCCGCTTTTGTGTTCTGAATCGGATTTCAGCATTCAGGCAGATCACTAGTATGTGTTTATTATTTCCCGTTTCCTTCTTGAAAATCCAGGACATATTTTTTTAGATATTCAGTAGACTTGTGCTAAGATAATGTTATTACTTTACGTGTGAATTTTGTTCAGAAATTTCAGAATTTTGTTATTTAATTAGATTGTATCCCCCGCCCCCCAAATTCTTACAGGATGAGCAGCGTAGGGCTTATTGACAAACCATTTTTGAGGATGAATCTGCAACCTAGAAACTGTTGAGTGTTCACCTGGTACCCCAGATCTAGTTAGCACTCTTGTGAGTTCTGGGTTCTAGATTATGCATCTCTCACTAAGTATGACTTGAGATGTGGATCCAGGGCTGCAGTGTTCATATTTAAATTCATATTTAAACCTTTTGGAATTTTTTTTTTTGGTACCAGAAATCGAACTCGGGACCTCATGCTTGCCAGGCAGGTGCTTGTACCGCTGAGCTGTATCCCTTGCTCTTAGGTCTGCAGAGTGAACTTTGTCTGCATGGAGTTGTATAATTGTGATGATCAATTTCTATACTCCTGCTAAATTTTCTCTGATTTTAGCTTGCAAGCTTGTTGGGACAGGCTGTGCTCCACAAAAGAACTCTGTCTTTCATGTTATTATCTGGACAAAGTCTCGAGCCATATTTTTCAGTGAACATACCCAAATATATCACATTTGACTAAGTTTTTAGAAAATTTAGGTAATGTTTTCACTTTCAGAAATATTTATGTTTTTAGTATCATCTTTAAATATATATATATATAAAATGGCTTATTGTCTTGATTACTTTTCTCTTGTTGCTGAGACAAAATACCCATCTCCCAAAGTTAAGGAAGGAAAGATTTATTTAGCTCACAGTTTGTGAAGGTTTCAGTCCATACTCGGTTGGCTCCAAGGCAGAGTGGCACATGGCAGAGGGCAACAGTTCATGGCAGCAGAAAACAGCAAAAGCAACAAGAGCAAAAAGAGGGGAGTGGCAGTGATACAGGAAAATAAAAACTCCCAGCCTGCACGATATCTGGGACGAGTTCATGCTCTCTAAAATCGAAGAATGAATTTTAGGAACAACGGAGGTTAAGAGCAGAACATATTTATTGAGGGAAAGAAAGCTTCTGTCTGAGAGAGAGACAGAAGGGGGGCCCAAGTGGATTACCCAAGACTGTTTTTTTCTAGGGACTTTTATAGAGCAAAACCATGAGGTGAGGCAGGTCCAAGGTAGGGGAAAAATGGACAAAACTATAGTCAGCCAATAAGAATTATTCAGGTAAAATTGATTAAATTGGGATCAAATGGGGAAGTGAGTCACATAGCAAGCAGGCATGAATACAGAACAGGGGCTTTTCCTGTAAGGGGTTCGGTCAAGGACTCTTCAAGGTGGTCACTACCTATTTAGAGTGTTAATCCCTGAGGTCTATCCCTTGGGAGGTAAGAGTGTGTGTTTGTTTAATCTTTAGTCTTGAGATCTGGCCCGCAGCAAGTACCACGTTTCCATTTGTAAGGTATCTTGTCTTCCATACTGGCTTCTTTGAGGGCCTGGCCCTGTCTGACTGCCTATAATATTTCTGTCTAACTCAGCTGCCTATAACAGCAGCAGTAAGCCTCTTTCCCTCCCTTACATTGTATGCGAACTACCTGCCCCAGGGGCGGGTGTAGCACTCACACCCATAACACCAGCATTGGACTATGGATTAATCAGAAATCTAGAAGCCCACCCCATGACTGCATGAGGCTTTTGGGGGACATCCAGACACAAACCATAGCACTTATATAGAACATTGTCACTCTGCTGACGTGAACTGCAAGGAAGCAGGAGAGGAACCAGCTTTGTCTCTGAATCTCTAGTTACTTTGCATCTTCCCTTCCACCTCAACCCTCAAATATGACTATCTTAGCTACATTTTCACATGTGCTACATAACCGTTGTAGAGTGGGCCCTAAGCACTATCATGAGCATGCAGTCTTTTATTCTCTCAGTTTCTTACTTTTTAGTCCCACTTTACTTAGAGAAATGTTTTTCTCTTTGCCTTTTCTTAAGTCCAAATAATCTTCTCCCTGACAGTCAACACCTAAGTTCTGCTTTTGGCTATTTACACTGTAAAAACATGAAATTAACACATCAGATAAATTTCACACTCCGTCTTCTGGGCAGATTGATGTAAATTAAATAGCACAAAATCAGCTGGAGCAGTGTACATCTTCTATCCTGGGGAAATTTGTGACTTTTACTTACTTAAGACAAGTATTATAAGGTTTTTTGTTTTTCTATTTACACAACGATATTTTTCAAGATTTGCTCTTACCGGCATTGCTACCTAATTTATTTATTGTTTCTTCCAAACTTTTTATTTCAAAGCTCTTCAATGTTGGATACTCAATTTATTTCCATTAAAGTAAAATATTACATATAGGGGCTGGAGATGTAGCACAGTGGCACAAGTGCCTGCCCAGCAAGTGCAAGGTCCTGAGTTCAATTCCCAGTACCAGTAAAATAAAATGTTACATATAAATGTTTATTATCACCTGTAGTATACTTTCACTATAAAAACTACCAATCACCAGTATTTATTGATTATTTACCATTTATGCATTATAAAGATCAATTAAATATAATGAAATACACTGTTAGCAGATGTTTTAGTGTGTTTCTGCTGCTATAACAGAATACTCTAGACTGGGACTTCATAAACAACAGAAGTTTACGTGGCTCATGGTTCTGGAGGCTGGAAAGCCCGAGAACATGGTGCCAGCATTAGACCAGGGCCTTTGTCCTGTGTCATAACTGAATGGCAAGCAAGCATGTACAAGGCAGAAATAGGAAATTGCACTGAATTCATCCTTTTTATCAGGAATCCACACGCTTGGTAACTAACCCACTCCTGAAGCAATGGCCTTGATCTGTCTATCATGAGAGGGCTGGGGATATAGCTCAGTGTCACAAGTGCCTGCCTGACACACTCAAGGTCCTGAGTTCAATTCCTGGTACCAAAAAAAATTTTTAAAAATTTGTCATGAGAGTAGATTCTTCATGGCCTAATTACCATTTAAAGGCTCTAATTCTTCATAATGGTACAATAGCAACTAAATTTCAGTGTTTTAGAGGGTACATTTAAACCATGGAGGAAGAAGATTTGCTTGTTTCTTAAAGAAATGTAGACTAGACTAGAATAGAAATACCAGTAGATCTTTGGTAGTAAGGGTATTTGGTGGAACTTGTTTCAGTTACTGTATATATACTTTTGCTTTATATACACACATGCATATATTAAGTTGTATTTTGTGTCACAGTGTAACTTTTTTAATGTAGGTAACAGTCAGAAGAGGTTTAACAATCATATAAACATTAAGAACTTAAGAAATGTTCTGACTCACTGTCTTAAGAACTTTACAGTTTTCTTGATACGACCCCCAAAGTCTCCAAGGATAGTTAAGCGTTTCATATGTTTAATAGGAATGGATATGCAAACAGTATTATGAAAGTTGTATACTAGACAGGTTTACAAGATAAAATCAAGGAGGCATCTAAATGATACTAGATTTTAAACCCTGAAACTGATCTTTGGATGCCACATAAGTTCCAGTCTCTTCGCTCACTTCTTCAAGGATAATAAACATCCACCTAGAGATGATCACAGAGACCTCGATGCTTGAACCGGATAGGCTGGCACCAAAGTGGCACCTAGTGAAGATTCAGTCAGGAAGGCGGTGATGCCACCTCCCCACTCCACCCAGTCAGGTCCCCTGGCGTTTGCCAAGCATCCAGGGAGGGACGGGTGGAGAGGATGAGAGAATTCCATGAGAGCAATTGCCCGGCTTTGGCCTTTCACACATGCCGAGTGTCTGGAAGGAACTCGAGACCCTCACTCATCCACCCAAGAGGGTTAGTGAATGAATCTCCCTTCCCCAACCGATTCTTCCACAAGAACCACCTTCATAGTTTTTCTTCAGCTTTTACAAGTCTTATACTTAATTATTGACAATTTGTTGGTTAGGTGATATAGTTTTGTTGCTTTTCCTTCTCCCCAAACTGCCTTTCTTAGATTTCTATCCATAGCTGAATCTCTCCTCCTCAAGCGTTCCTCTTTTTATAAGTTATTTGATATACCTTTTCTTCTAGCTCTTGCCCCTCCAAACATTGTCAGAAACCACTGTATGGTAATCAGCTTAAAAATGTCTCTGTGACATGAGAGAGATCAGTTCTTCTTTTTTCTTGAAGGCAGTGTGTTGACATGTTGATGCCTGCTCTGAAGGGGCCCATTGCACTGCGGAACGTGCAAAGTGATTCCATTTAGCTTAATGTAGAAGGGTGAGTGGAGCATTTCTGGGGTCCCTTTGGAGCTGTGTTTTGATTACACAGTACCACCAACTAAAAACCAAATGACTTCCTGACTTAATGGAAGTGTTTTGCACCTTAGAAAACAACAACTGGCCACTGAGTATAACCGGAAACAAGTTCTTCGACACTGCTTCGCAGAATGGCAGCGTTGGCACGGTGCACAGGTCCTGAAGAGAGAACTGGCCCTAGCAAAGGAGGCAACCAGAAAGAAGATGGATGAGCTGCTGAAGGCAGCGTCTCTGGGGAAGCTCAGTACGAATGAGTCACCGGGCATCAGTCTACTGGAGGAAACAGCCCCGGTGGGCTTACCAGTAAGAACGGAGAAGCAGTTGTTTTTCCTTCATTTGGTCTTCCGCTTATTAAGCGTTTGCACTTGAGCTCTGCACTTTTCTATCCTGGGCCGTGTCAGCTGTGGTCAGATTGCCTTCCCCAATACCCATAGGTTAAGCCTGCTACCATACACAAAGTTTACCTTTCAGGCAGTATTTATTTTCGTGAATTGAGTCTTTTTTAATAATCACATCTCAGCCGGGCGTGGTGGCGCACGCCTGTAATTCCAGCACTCAGGAGGCTGAGGCAGGAGGATTGCTGCGAGTTTGAGGCCAGCCTGGGCTACAAAGTGAGGTGGAGGCCAGCCTGTGCTACAAAGTGAGGTGAAGGCCAGCCTGAACTTCATAATGAGACCCTGTCTCAAAAAGACAGAAAAAAAAAAAGAGAGAGAGAAGCCATATGTAGAATTGTAGCAATTTGGTAGAAGAAAATCACAGGGCAAAAGGACAACAATCTGTAGTTCCATCATCATCTCATAACGTGGAAGTCTAGCCATCTAGTCTTCTCTGTTCACATACCTATACATTAGTCTTTGTTAATATTTTATTAGTGGTTAACTTTCCCTCTGCCAGGTCATTGAAGAAATCTAGTCTGCTCTAATTCAGGAAATAGAAGGTTATTTTGTTGTTGTTGTTGTTATAATACTAATGTAATTGCTTTGTTTCTCTAAAAATTGTTTTTGCATTTTTAAAATACAATATTAGAATATTACGTGAAGTATGTAGTATTATATATGCTTCAGCAGTAGTAGTTCTCAACTGAAAATATACCTCAGAATTCAACCTACTGAAGAAAAACTTCTGATATGAAACACCAATATATTTTTTTAAAGTTCTCTAGGTGAACCTGATACCTGCCTGATGTGTAAGGACTCCCATTCTACAGCACCCTTTTACAATGGCTACATGACATTCTACAATGAACCATAAGCTAGAACCTGCTTCACTGACCTATTGCTGGAATTTAAGTTGTTTCCACCATGCCGCTGTTTTTAACAGTGTGTCAGTAAATATCTTAGTAGCTAAATCTTTGCGTGTATCCATAATGCTTTACTTAGGATAAATATTTGAAAATAGCATTCATGTTCTATTTTTGTCTTATTATTGCTTCATTTTTTGCATGTCTTTGATTACTAATGAGGTTAAATAGTTTTATAATGGATATAGAAATATATATATGGATATGGAAATATACAGAAATAGTAACCTGTGTCTTCATGCCCTTAGTCCAGTCTTTTCTTTGGGTACATTCTTTTTTTCATATTTATAGGAGCTCTTTATATTTTTAAGGCCGTGGATGCTTTTATTAATACATATGTTGCAAACATTTTTCCCATTTTGTCATTTGTCTCTTTTGTTTAGTTGTAGTGTTTGGTATGACAAACAGTTGTTAATTTTTTATGAAGTCAGTGCTATCAGATTTTTCTTTCCTCACTGCACTTATCTAGTTTAGAAAGGCTGTTGGAGAAGATCTTCCTTCCCCCTTCACCCTCATCCTGTTCATAATGCTGTTGAGTACTTAACTCAGGTGTCTGAAATAAACTGAGCACTGGTGGTCCCATCCTTACTTTTCAATCCTGATTACTGCTGGTAAAAAGGCTGGTTTTAATTTAAGCTTAGCCTCCCAGCGAAGGGGGATCATGTGGGTGACTATTGGTACTGAAGTAATGTTTTGGTCCCTCCCTTTAGGGTGGCAGTTTACCTACCTTTATGTCAGTTAGGTAACTTTGTCCCCATTGAGATGCAAGAGAGACTTATATCTTAAGAAATAGCTGAATGGAACCTTTTTCCTTACGAAGTTCCACTGTTATTATCTTAAGTGGAAAAAATCAACAAAAGATACGTTTTACCTGTGGAAAACAGAAAAATGTCTACATATAGATATATATTTATATATCTCTATATAGCTATATATATTAAGAAAATGTCTCTCTAAATATATATAAATGTTTAAGAAAAAGCCTTAAGATTTTGTAAAAGGTTGTCTGTCTGTTAATATTTTCCTCCTTTTATTTTTAAAATAAAAAAAAAATGAAAAAGCCTTAAGAAAAACTTAGACTTAAGATTTAGACTTGAGGAAAAAAAGTCTGTAAATCTCTGAAATCAAAAAGATTTTATTAAAAAGGGAATATTGTAAAAAAAAAAAAAAAACATATAACAAGTGAAAATACAGCCCTACAATAGACTCAGTAGGTTACTAAATAAATTAAATCTTTTCCAGAATGTAGAGGAAAACATGAAAAATGAAAATACAAAATTTCTACTTAGATACTTATTAATTATGCAATCATAGGACTTCATGTACTAAGAACACACATACTGTTTCTTGAAATTTTTAAAAATTATCAGTTAAGCAAATAGGTGATTTTCCCTAATTAGGCCAGGCTGTTCATTCCTTTTCTATTAAGTACAATCTGTACCAGCAAGCATTTCTTTCATGCTCTTATTTTTACCTTAAAGAGTTACCATAATCCAGAAGAGAGCTGATGGCTGTACTCAAGGCTTTTACGCAGTCTTGCTGTGTTAATGACACGTCTACCATGGAATTTCAAAGAGCCTAAGACATATACCCTGCTTGATGCCAAATTACACAAGCAATAAATGCCGTTGGCGTTTCTGAAATAAAAGGTTATTTTTAAAAGTTTTTCACATGTCAGAGTTTCCATACATCACACATTTCACTTTAGCAAAGTCCATGGAGAGCGTTTCCATCATCATGAAGAACATTTTTGAGGACCCGAGTATGGCCCCGTGTTAGAGCTAAAAGCTTCTGACGTAGATGGCTCAGAGTAGTTTCCTCTTTGTCATTGCAAGTGGCAGAATCAGACTCTAGATAAAGAACCAAACTGTCCTAGAGGAGACATTTTAACTTGACGTTATTTTGGCCAGGATAAGTTTTGCTAAAATAAGTTACGCTTTTTTCTTTCCCCTCTGCTTAGAGCTTGTATTCAGGGATGATAGCTCAGTCTATTAAATAAAAGTCACACAGTAAAGCTTTGAACACTGTAAGTCATATGCTAGCATAAAATAGGTAATAATATTATTTTTATAATATAGATATTTGCCTAGAAATTCTGGGCTTCCAAATACTTCTTACAAATAATTTAGCAATAGCATGAGACCAAGCTTAACTGGGCCTTGATGCTTAATAAATACATATGTTGTACTATGGTAAAGAATTAATTTAGTGTATTAGTAGCAAGAGGTGAATTGAAAGAGCAGAGATACTATTGACTTATAAATATATTCTTTATTTCCAAACACTGAGAAGGAAAATATTCTTTGCCCCAAAATTTTCAAATTTCTGCAAAATTCCAAGTCAACTCTTACATATTAAAGTCCTCATAATATATATCTGAAATAATCTGCCTAACCCACAAATGAGCTACCCAAATTGGAAATTAAAAAGAGAGCATTTTTCCTGTTGCTCATGTCTTGGCCCATGACAGCGGTTCCCACACTGAAGGCACTTTCCCACCGACTTCTCATGGTGAGCAGCCGTGCCCGTCTTGAGAGTGGCTCACAGAGCAAGACTGGGGGCCTCTGGGAACCAGAACAGGAGCACAGGGCGACCGTACCAGAGGTGCCCTGTAGTTGTGTCACTGAGCAAAGCAGTGCTGAGAGATGAGTGCTGATGGTCTCAATGGCCTGTGCCTTTACATCCTTGCGCTAGAGCGTGTTCCATCTCTTTCAGGCAGCTGTCGTGCCCTCCTTGGCGGAAAAGAAGCCCTCGAAGAGTAGTGGTTGTACGCTAAGGGCTCCCCTAAGAAGAACCACAAAGGGCAGTTTACAGGGTCCCCTTCAGGACGTCCCTCAGAACACACCTGACAGTGGGCAGCACCAGGCCCTGGATGCTGAGCTCTTTCAACAATCCGACAGCAAAAAGCAGCCGGGAACCACCAGCCAGAAAGCAGAACCTGCTTGCGTGGGGCATTTCCACAACCGCCATGTCTTTCAACAACAGCTGATTGAGAAGCAGAAGAAAAAACTTCAGGAACAGCAGAAAACCATTCTGGCGCTGAAGGAATACCAGCGACTGGCAGAGGCGCGCTGGGCAGCTGAGCGTGCTGCAGCCCTCACAGACGCACAGAAGCGCCTTGGGACGAGTCCCAGTGGAGCAGAGGAACCGAAAGGAGCCTGCCAGATGCTTCTCAAGTATGCCTGTCCCATCAGAATGCTCTTTGGACTTGTCTTAGAGGTCTGCGTTTGTTTCTGCCATACTAGGGATCGAAACAGCGCCAGACCTTTTTAGAAAAAAATTTTTTTTTTTTTTATTTTAAAGAATAAAAGAAGGATAACATAATAATAGGGGGGACTTAGCAAATTACAGACAAAATGGTAGGAAATTATCAATGGTTATCATTTTACATATTATTATCTACAAAATAGTTTCTCAGGAAAACAAATAGACAAATAATAGTGAGTTAGAGACAAAAGAGGTAGGAGATTATCAAGAGTTGTTGTGCTATACTTTGGTATCTTCAAAGTGGCTTCTAAAGAAAATAAATAGAGCTATACATGAGTGACCTACTGAGAAATCATTAACTCTTCTCAATGGTTGTTGTAGGAAACACATAATAATAAACATACATTATGAAATAGGATAGGAACATTACAAACTTTACACAGTTATGGATAGATTAGTAGGAAAATATCAATGGCTGCTGTAATACGTGGTGGTATCTTCAGAGTGGTTTCTCAGGAAGACAGAGATATGCAAGAAGGATCTAATAAGTAGTTACAGCCTAAGGGTTGTCAAAAATAGCATATTACCTGCTCACCAGTGACTCCTTTCACTGAGGTATGATGGCTGGAAGGAAGGCCAGGATTGAAAAGAAGGACCGAGAGACTTGCACCTGTGACTAGCAACAGGCTGTTTGCTTGTTCCTCCATAGTCATGATTACCCGGGGCTCCTCCATGGAGATGACGGTCTGGCCAGAGGGAGAAGGCAGACCATGCCCCAAGCCCTCTCATTCCTGTTGGACTAACTGGTAGCATGGGAAAAAAAAATTTTTTTGAGACAGTGTCTCACTAAATTGCCTAGGTGGGACTCAAACTTGTGATCTTCCTGCCTCAATATCCCTCATCGCTGGGATTACAGACATGCACCGCTGTGCCCGGTTGTTACTGAGCTTTTCACTTTGAGGTAGAGAGGTTTCTGAACTTCTGTGCCCTGCTTTTAAACTCCATGATCTTTGATTTTCTTTTATTGTGCACTCTTAAAGCAGAGAAGTCTCATACACTGTGACTTGTACATGACAATTATAAGTAGCAAGTGGCAAGTGGCCACTGTAAGGATTCAGTTATACAGTTAACATTTAGGTCATGATTCCCTCTGCCTGAAGAGCTTTGTAACTATACAGTAGAAGACAAGGGTTTTTGACCCATCTAGACTTTGGGGTTTCTGATTATGTTAAATGCTAAGAAGCCTGGACTGACCACACAGACGGCACCTGGAGCAGCCCCTGAGTTAGCTAATTACCTAGCTTGAACTTTTGCTGTTTCAGATAAAGCTAAATGTCTTTGAACCTGGAATTAAAAGTCCAGATTTGTCAGAGAATCATTTTAAATGGTTTTAGATGTGCCTAAGACACCCTCACTGTGATAAAGGATAGGGTAAGAACTTATGCTACTTACTGATTTAAAGCACTAGGAGTCAACTCCCGACTTTTACTGTAGACTCAAAGCCAACTTGTAGCCTTTCCAGACCTTGTTACTGCAGTGTATAGGCTGTATGAAGACGTATTCATCTCAGAGAGGAAGCGTTATTGAAGCTTAATTAATAAAAGGACTTGAATTCCTTATGTAAAAAGACTTTGAAGGCAAATAGTTATTGGTCTGATTTCTTTTCCTTTCTTTTTTTTTTTTTCTTTTTTCTCTCCTAGTTCATCTGTTACTTCTCCTAGGACCGGAAACAGAAGTGACTCCCAAAATTCTCTTTCTGGACCCAGAAGGAAGCCAAAGCCGCTGACGGCACCCCATCCTGCACTGAAAGGCAGGGCTGTCTTGATGTGTGTCTTCTCTCCAAGAGTAGAGTATGGCTGGGACTGAGTCCTGGCAACTTGGGTTTTGAGACTTGGGTAGAATGGGAAGAACAGAGTGCACCACTTCTTTTCCTGTCTCTTTTGCCAAACTTTCTGGCCTTCCTAGCTAACACGCACACGCACACACACGCACACGTGCACACACACACGCACACGCACACACGCACACACACATACTCACATATTGCTGGAAGGTGTTTCCTTTTACTGTAATGTGGTATTTGGATTGGTAAAATTATACAAGTAAGAAATCTGCAAGTAGGCACTAATGCTGCACACTGATATTATTGTACTTCGCTAATGCTAAAAAAATGATCAATTTATAGCAGTCCAAGTCAAGTTATTGTATGATTTGGTGTTGGTGTGCCTCAATAATAAGGTTTTAGTAGTGAAACATATAAACGAGCTATCTTAATTTTATAACATTTTGATGCACAACATTTTCATGCCCTTATTTTAAACCTACGCAGTGCTCTGAGGAGAAGAGCATTCCTTAGGAACCACATTGAAAATCTGCTTTTATCATATACTTAGTCACTCAGCACTTTGACAATTACACTGCGGCTTGTGAATTTGATATTTTGTGGAAAGGTGGCTGCCCTCACAAGAAGGCATATCATCTGAAGGACACCGTGCCTCCAGTCAGTTCCTATTAAGGAAGAAATTGGCAGTCTGCACTGCTTGTCTCTCAGGACAGCAGCTTATGCTGCCGTTGCCCACCACTATAGCTGATCCAGAAATGCGCAGTTCACCGCAATAAGTTTTTAAAAATTATTGTTTGAGCAAGGAGTTAGTTATTTTCAAATCCCAGGCTCCTTTTCAAGTAGTCTTTAATAATTCGATCTGGAAAAGATGAGGAAAGGGTGTATTACCGGAGACTGTACTACCCAGGGCTCTCTTGCTTTAATCCTCTAGTCTATTTCTGCTTCTTAAGGACAGTCTCACTCCGCCATCTGTGGCCCCACCGCTGCTCTGTGTAACAAAACAGACACTTACTATCTGCAAGAAATAACTTGATAAGTTTTCGTTCATTAGTTCTTAAAACTTGGACTTAAATTCTCTTCTCTGTAACGTGGCCCAAGGAACTGAAAGTAACTGTTGCTTGGCTTAGGTGAGCAGAACTCAGTCCTCCTCCCGTCCATGCCCCCCTTCCCGTGAAAGCCCTGCCTGATTACACAGTCATATTATCAGACCATCTTGCACATTTGTTTCTTTTGGATCGATATTTAATAGACTGTCAAGAACAAGAGTCTGACACTCAGATTCATTCTGGTGCCAGTTCTTCAAATGCCTGCTACAATTCCATTTCCTGCCCATCTGGATACCCAGGTCCTCAAACTAGATGAAAATGTATTCATCATGACCCCAAACTTCAGTTTGTTGCAGTTGGATATACAGACATATGACAGTGACTTAAGAGAAATTAGCAGGCTCACTTCAAATGAGATGTAAAGAATGATTCTATTTTCAAAGTATTTGTTAGATGCAGTGAAAGTTTTCTGGGTTCATGAAAGCTATAATTAAAATTTTTGTTTCTGAGTTTCATATAAGACTGTCACCCAGCTGTACTATGTTATTTAAACTAGTAAAGAGTTTTTCTAATAAAAATATAAACAAAAGCTGCCTACAAATTATTCATCATCACTGCAGGTGAGATTGTAGGTCTTTAACCTATAAAGTATATATCTTTTTTTTTAAAAAGCATAATTTACAAGAAAACCCGGACAATAACCCTACATGAGGCAGTGAGATAAAGACATTTCTTCTGCATATATCTTATATTGAAACTCTGTTACTATTTTTTAGCCATGGAAGAGAGAGCAGTTCAGCGAGCTGAACGTAGGCGGATCTTGGCAGAAAAGAAGAAAAAACAAGAAGAGGAGAAATTGGTAATAAATTCAGAATGCAAACTGAGGCAAGAAAAAGGATTTGTCTAGATGTTTCTTTATAAAACTGAAATCTTGCTTGTTTAAGCCTCCTGAGACTGTCGAGTTAGACCAACTTTGGAAACGGCCTGTGGCCTATGCCCTGGAATTCTGTGACAGTCTCAGAAAAATCAGGAGGAGATGGGAATCAACATTATTAGTGTAGAAGGGAGGAAATATTAGAAAAGTTAATACAACCTAAAAATTGGAAGGTTCACACATAATCAAGTTAGAGGATTACACAGGTAAATGTGTGACTTAATGCATTTACAGAAGAGAATAGTTAACTTCCAAAGTTTTGACCTACACTGTCAGAAGGAAATTTTTCACCTACCAGAAAAAAAATGAACAGTTCTAGCAGTTTGAGGGGAAGAGTTGGTTAAATTAAAGAAACCGATTTTGTGCATATTAATTTCACAGGTGAAAGGAAGAACTGAAATACGATCATTTTATGAGAAAGCAATGGTCTTATTTGGGTTCAGTCTTTTGGAGAAACTTTGTTTTTGAGACAGGGTCTTGCTCTGTAGTTTAGGTTGGTTCTGAACTCACTAAGCAGCCCAGACTGGCCTTGAACTCCTGGTGATCCTCCTGCCTTAGGCTGCCAAGTGCTGGCGATACAGGTGTGCACCACCACGCCCAGCTGGAGAAACTTCTGAGTTACGCAGCTGATGACACGTTAGTTGGGCTTTGTACCTTCATCACAGAGTGCGGACTTACTCTAAGCACAGGGCAGGCACTCTGGTAGCTGCTCACCTTGCCCCAGTGCAGAAGATCTTACAGCATGAAGGCCGAGGGCTCTGATTCTTCTCCATCCTCATCTCCACTAGGCCCAGTTAAAGGCTCAAGAAGAAGAGCAGCAGAAGAGGGAGGAAGAAGAAAAGGAGGCTCGGCTTGAGAAAAAACGGGAGGAGAGGAGACTGAAGAAAATGGTTAGTAATGTCTGTGCTCAGTCACCTGCCTGTTGAAGCCCGCTATGTGTGATGGTGTACCATTGTCTGCCTTTCCCACCCTAGAACTTCGGTCTGGAATAATCTCTCACCTCCACCTCCTCTTCTTCATCTTACTTAGTGAAAACTGATCCATTCTTCAGATCGCAGCTCAAGCGTGGTTTCTTCAGATTAGCTTTTCCTGCTCTGCCCACAACCGCTCCCCGGAGTTAGGCTCAGTCACTAACCCCTCGTAGCTTCCCGTCAGTGCCCTGCCAACGCTTGTGCTGATGCGTCGGTTTTGCAGTGTTTCTTTCATCTCCATGAGAGAAAAGGGAGCAGTCTGGTGCTGCTCACTGCGGCACTGGCTAGCAGTACCCTCAGAGTCTAGTAGACACTCAGCAGATATGCATCAAACAGTGAGCAAGTGAAGCTGGGCATGGTGGCGCACGCCTGTAATCCCAGCACTCAGGAGGCTGAGACAGGAGGATCGTTTTGAGTTTGAGGCCAGCCTGGGCTATAAAGTGAGCTCAAGGCCAGCCTGAATTGCATAGCGAGACCCTGTCTCAAAAAGACAAAAATAAACAAAAAAAACAGTGAGCAAATAAGGGGACAGAAGCACACCGAAGAAATAAGAGGCAAAGCTCTTTCTTTCAATTTTTCCCCCATTCTAGTTGGGAAGATAAAGCCTAAAAATACACACTTGCCAGACACCAGATAGTAGCGTATCTGCTGTCACGTCCTGCACTGAACAAAAGAGATCAGGAAGTCATGGAAGGCAGATCCAAGAGGATTTTGGAGAAATTAAGAGGCATTTTCTTGCTTTTCTAAAACCACCTAAGGAATCTCTGAAAAGGCTTGTTTCTTCCCTTAAAAACTGTGATGAGGGAAGCCAGTGTGGTGATGCACACCAGAAATTCCAGCATTTGAGAAGCTGAGGCAAGAGGATTGCTGCAAATTGGAAGATAGCATGGGTCACATAGTGGGTTCTAGGCTAGCCTGAACTACATAGTGAGACCCTGAAGGGGTTCTCAAGAAACCAAACAAACTAACAAATCAAACCAAAACAAAACAGGCTGTGGTGCGGGGTTCTTCAATAGCATTTTCCCAACATGTTTGCATAATCCTAGTGATTCCTGAGATAGCCGAGATGTTTTGAGAAAGTATAGGTTCTGTAGTTAAATAGTTTCAGAAAATGCAGGTTAAGATAAGGTTTGAAGTTTCTTTGTTAGTTGACTTCTCAGAACCTTTAACATCCTGCCAGATATTACAAGTTTCCAAAAGAGGGCCAATGTGCAAAGTGGTGACGTATCTGACTATAGAGCACCCAGTAATATGTCACTGAACCGTTTGGGGTCATACTGCTGTAAAGCAGTGAGATCACTTTTACAATATACAGTATGTTTTCCTTCTCGTATCTGTTCTTATACAAAATTTGAGAAGTGCAAAAAGACAGGAAAAAAATCTCTGAGCTCAGCATTAAGATTTAACTACTCTCAATACCTTAATATCTCTATTTCTGATCTGTGCAGCTCTCATTTAATTGGTTGATAATTATGTCTAGGTGAGTATATATAGTTTTTAAGCTTTTAAAATTTAAGAGTTTCTCATGAGTCACTCAGATTCACTTGTCATTCAGATTTTGTCAAGGAATTTTAATTTATAAGTAGAATGTCATTTTTTAAAAAGTAAAATTTATTTTGGAATAATTTAGAGTTACAGAAAAATTGGAAAGGCCGTACAGAGAATTTCCATATACCCCTCACTATATTTGCCTCCCCTAATCTTATCATCTTCTATTACCTCGGTGATTTATTAAAACTAAGAAATCAACATGAATGCACTGCTGTTGTCTGGAATTATTATTTGGATTCCACCAGTTTTCCTATTAATTTTCAAGATCTAATCCAGGAACTATTCCATGTAGCTATCATATCTCCTCAGTGTTGTCCTATCTGTGACAGTTTCTCATTCTTTCCTTATTTGTCATGGCTTTTTTTTGTTTTTCCAAGATTTTGACCATTTCGAGGGTTGCTGGTCAAGTACTTTGTAGAATGTCCCTAGATTTGTGTTTCTCTTTTTCTTATAATTATTCTAAGGTAGTGTGGTTTTTTGAAAGAGTGACAGCAAGGTGAACTGACATCCAAATCATAACAGAGCAGGGGATATGTGATATCACAATGACTCATCCTTGGTGATCTTAACCTTGACGGCTTGGGTTAGGCAGCGCTTGACAAATTTTTCCACTATAGAGTTACTGTCTTCCCTTTGCATACTGTGTCCTTTGGGAGCCATTCGTTAAGTCCAGTGTATTCGCAAGGTAGGAAGAAGGGAACATAAAGCTCCATGTCCTAAAGGGAGAAATATCTACATATATTATCTAGAATTCTTCTGTGAGGAAGGTTTGTTTCCCCACTTTGCTTATTTATTTATGTAAGTATGGATTCACATATATTTATTTTATACTTTGAGTGATTAAAAAAATGCTGCTAATTATTTTGTTGCTGAGATCATTCTGACTTAGCAGCTTTGGGATCTCCTTCCGGTTGACTGCTGTGTTTGTTTGACATGCCTGCGTCCTTCTGTATTGTTTGAGCACCTTTCTTTCTGGTGCTGTAAATTTTTTATTTTCACTGCCCCAGCCCTAGAATCAGCCATATCTGCAGGGTGCCTTAGTTCTAAATGGAGTTTGGAAAGCAAGATCTGGGCACTGAGGATACTAACTGCTACTAGGCTGTCACTGATTTTAGGACCTCAACAGGTACAGGTAGGCAATTTACAAATACACATATGCATACGAAACCATGTGTACACACCTAACTATGACCATTTATCTGTCCATATGTGGATATGGATATGGATAGCTTTGTAGGAGCTATGGAAAGCTAAGCATGAGCTCATACTGGTATCTTCAGCTGTAATCCAGCACAAGAGGATTTGTTCTGTCCTTCCCTTCTCGTTTATTCGTAATTCCCTCTCTGACCGTGTAAAACTGGCTCCCACAATCTGCCATCTGTTTACTTATTCAGTTCCAGTATAGCTGTAAAGCAGTTTCAGAGCCGTTAACTCACATCGCCATGAGAAAGAAAAAGCATGTACCTATTAGAGTTTAGTGTTTATATTCAGTTACCTTACAGTTTTTGTTTTTGGTACCAGGAATCAAACTGAGGACCTTGCACTTGCCAGGCAGGCATTATGCCACTGAGCTATGTCCCCAGCACCTATTTTAACCTTACAGTTTCCTTTAGAGCTCAGTTTTCCAACGTCACTAAGGTCAACTCCTATTTTTCTCCATCTTCTGGAGTGAAGTTATATGATTTGTTTTGAATATAATCATATTCATCTGTCATCAAGGACACTGTATCTTGGAATCCTGGACATATTGCTTGGTTTTCTAATTGTTTGCCTACATTAAAGTCCACCCTAAGTGATGTACAGTGCAGTCCAGAGCTGTGCATCTGCCATCCAGTGTCTTATACAAAGCAGGGCCTTCAAGTTAAAAGTTCCCCTGTCATGATCTGTTTTTTTGTTTTTTTCTTTGTACCAGGAATCAAACTCACGACCTCGCGCTTGCTAAGCAGGCGCTTGTGCCGCTGAGCTAAATCCCCAGCCCCTCTCATTCCCTGTTGCAGTGAACTACGTTCCCCAACCCCTAACCCCGAGTAAGCACTGCTTTGTTTTCCCTGTATTTTTTTTTTACCTTTTCTAATATGTCACATGAATGGACTCATAAAAGAATGACTTCTTTCACTTAGTAAAATGCATTTATGATTGATCTGTGTTGTTACATAAGTTAAAATCTCTGGTTTTTTTATTGGCAAATGGTACTCAATGGAATTTCATCTGAATATATCAGAATTATCTATTGCTCTGTTAATATTATATTTAGTTTTTAGCAACTATGAATACAACTGCTAGTAATGTCACATACTGTATGATTGGTAGGTCATGTGGTAAGTTTATGTTTAACTTTGTAGGTAACTGCGAAATTCCCTTTCAGCATGTCTGTACCATTTTTATTCTCACTAACCATGAATGAAGGTTCGTTTCATATCTTCATCAGCATTTGTTATTGCTAGGGTTTTGGGGTTTTATATGTTCTAATCTGTGTAGTGATATCTTGTTGTAGTGTTAATTTGCATTTCCCTAACAACATATAATATTAAGCATCTTTTTGCATATTTACTTTTCTTCTGTATATCTTCTGTGGTGAACTACCTGTTCATATCCTTTGCCTATTTTTAATTGAGTTTTTTACTTACCGTTGGATTTTAAGAGTTCTTTATACAGTGGTACCTCCGTTCACAAACTTACTTCTTTCCATGATTTTTGCAACCAGTTCGGTTTGTGATCAGAATCATGGAAAGAATTAAGTTCATGAAGAGAGGTACCACTGTATTTTCTAGACCAAGTCCTGTACTAATATGTAATTTGTAAACCTTTTCTCTCAGTCTAAAGCTTTTATTGTAATTCACTTAAGTATCTCACACAGGAAGGTTTTTAATTTTGATAAAGTCCAGTTCATCAGTTTTTTCTTTCATGGATAGTGTTTTTCAGTGTCATATCCAAAAACTCACCAAAACCAATGTCAATCAGATTTTCTATTATATTTTCTTCAGGCAGTTTTATAGTTTTACACTTATTAGGTATGCGGTTTATTTGGAGTTCATTCTTGTTTAAGGCATGAAGTATGTATCAGGTTCATTTTTTTACTATACAAAGCCAGTTTTTCCGTATTATTTGCTACCTTTTCTGCATTGAATTACTGTTATACTTCAGTCAAAACTTAGGTATACTGTATTGTATGAGTCTATTTCTGGACAGTCTACTCTGTTTATCTTTATGTCTGTCCCTTTGCCAGCACTGATGTCTTTAGTTGTTGTGGTTTTATAGCCAATGTGAATTTTCCCACTCTGTTTTTTTGAGACTGTTCTGGCTATTCTGTTTCCTTTGCCTTTGTGTATATATTTTAGACTAATGTCAGTATATACAAAGAAAACCTT